TTTTTGGATTAAAATGTATGTACTTTTAATTGATGTCAGCCGCCCTGATTGTGCTCAGAGGGATGGGATACAAATAAATTTTATTATTATTATTATTATTATTATTATTATTATTATTATTATTATTATTAATAGCAACCCCAAATACCTTTGATTTGATTTTTGATCAGATTTTCCTGATTTGTGGCAGAAAGATACTGAAAACCCAAATAATTTCTTTAAAACAAGAATTTCATACTTATTTTAAGTGTGTGTGTTTTTGCTGGGAGGTGTTTTCTTCTGAAATGTGGAAGTATGGCATAGTATAAATCCATATGTGTTGGTTGGAGGCTGCAGGCTGTGTTGGGCCATGGGGAGTGAAATTCTGTATTCTCTTTGCTCCCTACCCCTTTTATTACCCTTGATGTTAATCAGTCTTTAATGAATCTCTGGATAACTCCCTGATACTGCTTCATCTGTAAATCTTCCCTGTAAGATTCAGGGAAGCCTCTCCTAGCTTCCTCTGAAGGCTTAACCATCCTTCTTTAATTTGGACAGAAAAGGCACACTGTCTTGGAAGTCTGATTTTCTTCACTCCCAACAGTCTTGCCCTGGCTGACCTGAGAATCAGAGGAGACTCCCCAGCAGAATTGGATAAGGCTTCAGAAGGATTATTGGGCCCCGAGGTTCCCTTCACTTTCTTAATGGATACTTTAGTACCTCCCCTGAGGCCCACTCCTGTAAGATTGATAGAATATCTTTTTTCCCCTTCCCTTAAAATAAAACTCACTTTGCTTTATTATGCACTAAGTAAGAGTCCTGGATTGCCGAGGATGGAGGAGAGACAAAGGTTCCTCCTACCTATTTCCCTTCTTAGAGCAATGGTAGGCAGGGAGAGAAGAGGCCAGATGGTAAAACTGCTGGCAATCTGCATTCAGCACAAAGACACTGGGGAAGGGGAATTCAATAAATTAGAGTTTAACTGTTCCCTATAATCATTTTAAAAATATATATATCAAGACTCCCACTCATTGCATTGGAAAAGAGATCAGGTTTTGCTAAGCTGTTAAAGGAATACCTTGTAGGAAAACAGCAGAAGAGGCATAACAAGTATATGAGCCTCTGTAGTGTAATAGTTTGAATGTAGGATTTGGACTCTGGAGATTGGGGTTCGATTCCCTGCTTAGTCAAGGAAATCCACTGGGTGACTCTGGGCAAATCACACACTCTCAGTCCTACAAAACTGCATGATAAGTTTGCCTTAGGGTTGCCATAAGTTGGAAAGGACTTGAAAGCACACAACAACAAAATAAATTTCTAGGGTGAGGTGGATAAGAGAGCCAATGTGGTATAGTGGTTAGAGTGCTGAACTGGGATTTGGCAAGATCTGGTTCAGGTTTCCATTGAGCTGCTTCATTTATTTATTTAAGACCCCATTTTTCTTCTGACACAGGATCCAAGGTGACTTAAAAATGCTAAAACATGTAAAACCCAAAAACTTTTGTCACAAAAAAGTTAAAACACAGTCAAATATATTGTCATATTCAAATGCCATTAAAGTATTTAATCATTTTAAAACACAACAATAAAGTTATAAATACATCACACTTAATGGGTGATCTTTGGCTAAACAATGTTTCTCAGCCTGACCTACCTCACAGGGTTATTTTGATGATAAAATATGGAGGAGAAGAGCCATTTAGATTACATTTGTTGGGGAAAATGTGGGTTACCGTATATATTTAAATAATTATTGAATTAGCATAATGCATAAGCAAAATTTTCCTTAATCTAGTAAAACCATAGCATGTTCGCTTGGAAGCATGGGACCGCTTTATTTAATAAAACACCTTCACTGGGAACACTCAACTATTCAGCTGATGGCAGGAAGGGTGGGAAGTTGATTTTTGCTGGATGCATCCATCCTCAACCTCATGTTTATAGATTTTCCAAGTTCTTACTATACAGGTAGCTGCTCCTACCCAGAAGCTGCTGCATAAAAGCCTTCTGGGTCCTAATGTTCAGTGTTGCTAATCCCTGACCTTTTCCCTTCCCACACTAGCACAACATGATGGTTGAGTGTGCTTTACTGTATCAGGCTGCAGGTGTACAGGTGGTCAGGACCTACAGCAGTACCACTCTTCCTGGCCAGCTGCCCTTATGAACCCTCTAAACAGTTGCACTCTTGCCACCATTATGAAAACACACTTCCTCATTCCTAAAAGAAAATATCATGCAACTGAACACGCTGTCAACCTCTTACACAGTCTTTGATGCTCATTTCTCATGAGTTAACCTAGTTACATTATTGAGGAGCTTGTTCTGCATCTTGAAAGATGTGAAAATGAAATGATTGCATTTAGATTGCTGTGGCTAGAAGGGGAAGGGATTTAGAGAAATGAGTAGTAAGGTCTTGGAAAGGTGCTGTTGGGAATGGAATGTATTTTTTGTTAGGAAAGAATGGAGCCCTCATTTATCCAATCTGTTTTGTGTGATTGTGTTCCCCCCAACATAATAAAGTGCAGCTTTCATTTTATTGCTTGATTGTGTCAAATTGTTATCATGGTGAATCTGCTATCATAGATCATTCTCTTTTATCATGTCAGTTTGCTGCCAGATAAAAGGAAGCAGTTTGGGATGTGATAAGGAAGAACAATCCATGATAATGTGTCTAGAGAGTAC